AAAAAAAAATTACTGCAGACTGGAAGCTTAATTTGTACCCATTGTGACAAGGTGTCTGCTAAATCTTCAAACTCCTTTTATTCAAAAACAAAAGAAACCCTTCACCTGATGCCTGTAGAGGCAAAAAGGAAGAGATGACATCTTAGGACAAGCATCAAGGACAGTGCTCAGGCTACCAGTGTGCACTACGTATTAAAAGATCACATGTCAGTTTTAGAAACATATGAATGTACAATTTTTTGGGAAAGAATGGAAATACAAATGTTTTATTTGCAACATTCACACTTCTCAGCAGATCTTTACGATAGTCTAGCATCAACTACTATTTTTTGTTCTTGTCATATTATGTAGTACTTACCCTGCTCTCTTCTAGACTATCGAAAGGACCTGGAGGATCATCCAGACAAAGAAATTCTCTCACTGCAAGGCTTCACAAAGGGCAGGGAGTGGGGGGAGAGGGGAAAAGAAAAAAAGAAAAAAAAAAGTTAAAATAGAAGAAAAGCAATGATACTTAAATACAATGCCAAAAACTCTGAGGGACTTAGAGTTTACCTTCACATCACTCCCAAGGATTCCAAACAATTTTAATAAAACTATGACATCTCAGGTATATGTGTTTATCAGGGATAGTACTTATAATCCCACTTACAAATTTGCACAAGTGCTCTTAAGAATTTTAAAACAGAGCACATCATCCAATTTGGAGGGGGCTTTTTCAAAGCTTCAGAGAAATCATTACTGCATGACAACCACGAAGTAAGAAGTAAGAGAAGTAAGTTTATCACTTTGATACTGAAAATGCTGAAAAATAAGAACTAAAAGGTGAATGCAAAAGTATGCAGCTGGAATTCATATACCTGGGCTCCTCAGGGTTTATCAAGGGAACAAACCACAGACAATGACAGATGTGCTCATGTCTCCAGTTTGGTAAGATCACAATCCGCTGATTTAGACAGTTTAAAAAAAAACGAAAAAGGTTATAAAAGAAAAAAACTGCCATGGTTAACGAGCTATGGATGTTACCACATGCTTTTGCTAAACACACATTTGTAACTAATGAATTTGTCTTGAAATTGTGTAACAGTGGTCGCACTATTTTGCAAAGGCCAGAAGAATAAAAATACGTACAGTCCTCTGTTTTAAACGAGGCATCTTAACTACCTCCAATTGCAGACATTATATAATCATCTCTAATCATGCATCTTCACATTTTCCTACTCCGTTTTATGTATTCTTCTACAAACACTCTTAAATTGGAATAATACATATACTTATTAGCAGTTCTGTGCCTTGCACTCACTACTTACAGATCTGTAAATCATCTTCTATTGCAGTAAAAGCTAAAAAAAAATGGAAGATGTGAATCTAAATGAATTCACTGTCTTTCATGTAAATCCCATGGGAAGGTGCAAAAGCAGGTAGTTTTCTGCCATCCTCTCATTCTATACCTTTGAGGCAAACACTAAGTACCAAGTCACTAATTTTACTCCAGCTACTAGTCTGATCAACAAGTTCTGGTCTAGCAACCAAACTGGGGCAAAAAGCATGTTTTCAGCAAACACCCAACAACCAATTACACCATTACTTGACTTCTAGGAAAGCTCTCACAAATATTCATCCAAAATGCTTGCTGTATTTCAACTTTATTTAGTTGCTGGATTTAGGTAAGCCTGTTTTCCAGTCCCTGCTGCAGGCCAGAAGATACGTTTTCTTTGGGCAATGTTTGGTCTGAATTCTTGTCTTCATCTTTACCTCAGCAGCATTTACACCATCCCCAAACTCTTCCTCCCCCATTATGACAATCTTTTCCCACTTAGTCTATGCAATAGACATGGCCATTGGGGGAGACTTCCTCCATGCCCTCACTATGAACCCTTCTTTTTCAGTTCGCCCAACACTGACTTGCACAAATCAATCCATGATCTGTGCAAACCATGACCTAAACTTCTGTTAATTAACAGTTTCCCACAAGTACTCAAAAATAAAAAAATCTTGCTATTTAAAACAAAATTATACTCCTGTTAGCTCAAAAAGTGATGGACAGTGACAAGTCATTAAATTGGTTATAGTCTTAAGAAACATAACTGCAAACTTCACCAAATTAATGGTTATTCAGCCACAGAAAATAGTCTTGCAAGGAAAAGGAGCAGTGTATTTGTTTTCCGGATTGTTTAATCTGCCTATTTAGAGTGACCTTCCCTAACATAATGCTCAAGTCCATCTTTTATGGTTGAATTGTTCTTTTCAAAAAGATGAAAATTGTGCTGAATGACCTCACATATGGCTAACTCAGAAGAACCTATAGTATGAAAATGTTGTGTAATTTAGCACATTTACTTTCTACATTTAGTTAATAACTCTATTGTTGTGAGGTGTAATATTTAGACATGACATCCAGTAATGCTTGCATATGAAAAAATACCCCCCAAAATGAATGTGCATAAGTATTCAAGCTACATGTATAATCTACTTAATAGATCATACCCATCCCTCCTCCCTAAAGCTGCCTGCAGAAAATTCTATCTTTTTTTATAGTCTAGGCAACACCTCGATTTCAAGAGCTGTAGATTCAGTCTTGTATATAGAGAAATCAAGAAACGTCAAGACACGGGTCACTGCAGTTTAAAAGCACTCAAAACATGTTTACTTTCTACTACAAAAAACATCCCATTAATGGCATAAATATTCATTTGCAACCTAGCTTTGAGAGTCTGCTTTGACCCCATTTTCCCCTCGACACATCCCTCCCCCTCTTCTTTTCATTTAAGAAATAGGAGAAAGTTCTGTTTTAAGATGATGACAGCTCACAGAAATCTTCCACATCATATAGCATCATCGCTATGCACGGATCCTTCCTTTGCTCTTCACTCTTAAGCCAGATGACAAACTCCTTTGATAAAAACTCTGTGAATCTAGTATATCAAGTAGATACAGCAAATAATGTATCCAAAGGGCGAGTTTCCTACCCACTCTCAAATTCTCAATACTAATAACTGTGAATAAAGAGAAACAAAGGAGACCAAGACTGGGGGTAGCTTGGTTTTGATCTGACCCAAGCAGTTTCTGCTTTCTTGGCAAAACTGCAGAAGTGAAGAGCTGAGCTTTCATGGTGGAAGCAAGGTCAGATTCTCACACTGCTCCTGTAAGGTGCAAATATTAATTCAATAGTAGCTCTTATTCTTTGGTAAGCAGGTAAGAAATTCAGACAGACTAAACCTCCCTAATTTAACACTTTCATGAAGATCTTCAATAGAGGGGAAACCTTACATCCTAAACTGTAAGGCTGAAAATAACTTAAAACCTAAGGCTTTACACTCTTGGCCTTGTACAGCCCAAACCAGAGTTTCCTTAAAACTTAAGGCTTTACACTCTTGGCCTTGTACAGCCCAAACCAGAGTTTCCTTTAAAAAAAACAACAAAAGAAATAAAAACACTGTACTGCTGTAAAATTCCCAATGCCATAAATGTTTAATCACCCTTCCAAATTTGTTTAGAAACATACTCCAAAAGTTGCATGCTTTTTTTTGCATTAGATCATGAAAGATTTTTACTGTATTTTGTCCACTCATTTTGGACCATCATCAGGATACCAACAAGCTAGTTGAAATTCCAGACTAGCTGCAACAAGGTCTTCAGAGACATTCAGTCAGACCAGAAGTCTACACAGCTATTGCATGTCCAGTAACATGTCAACTGATGTCTAGGGAACAATCCCTTTTTTGGCTATCTGTCACTATGTAATTAAAAAACCCGGGAAATTCTTAAACTTCCAGACATATATTTCATCCAGATAATCATGTTTAATAGCTACTCATGGACCAACACCACCGTTGATTCCAATGTCCTTTGAAAGATGTTTTCTAGTTCTGATATCTCACAACAAAGCTTTGTAACTTAGGGTGACACTGACTATGAAACAACAAAACAAACAAAAAAAATAGTGTTCTTTACTCACCTTCCCCATCTCTTTCATGATTTTACCTGCCCTGCTTAGTCATCTCTTTCCCAAGATGGAAAGATAAAATTCAGAATTCTTCCTGTAAGGAAGCAATTCTGTAGCTTCATCTGCCCCTGCTCGTCTCCTCTGTGCTCCCAGTATACCCTCTTTTGAATAAGGATGCTGGGCTTTAGTATTACATTGTGTGAAAAAGCAATTCCGATTTCCACAGCAATAAGGTAATTTTCTCCTAGCTTTCAAGTTCCTCTTGAACAGTTCTTATTCACCCTTTTGATCACTGCCAAATGCTGAGTTTTTCCAGAAAAGCACTTGCATGGTGGTTGCAACTTGTTGCAACAACTAATTAACTAATTAATTCTTTCTGCTGTTCTGCACTTAATGACATGGAATTTAATCTGTGATCCACAACTTCATAGGTAACGCTCATTAACTCTGTCCAGCCCCTCTCCCCTTACCTTTCAAACATTTTACATAAACACCTCCTAAGCATTTGTAAAGTATACTCCCTTCTGCAAAAGGCATTATTGCTTTCTCGTGCACTATTTTTATTCACCCATTTACTACTTCTGTTTTCCATTCAAGCAGTAGCAGAAGATCTGGTCTATGGTTCCCAGAGATAATGCTCAAGTTCTTAAGTCAAAATGAAGGTGTGAAGTAATACTAGCCATTCTTTAAACAAACTAAGGAAAAAAATGGACAACAGATGCTCCAGCACCACAGGTACTTGCTCAGCAATTTAAAATTTTAGTGCCTGTAAGATTCTTGAGGGAATGCTATTTGCTCTGGACAGCTTCTCGCTCTATTTTCAATGATATTTAATTTGAAGGTAGTTCCTCAAAGCAATGGAAGTGGTAAAGCAACCTCCCAATTCCTCTGCAAGGAGTGTAGTATGAAAAAAGCCTTTAGGAATTTCACAACAGCCTTTTTCCTAAATGTTCCTTTTACTTTTTATCATCTCTGATCTCACTCTTCAACAAATTTTCTAATTCTTATGTTGCAAAAGATGCTTAGAACTAAACAGCTATGCCTCTATCACCTTGCTTCTTAAAATTTTCTTTTGACCTATATGATATGACCTATATGATATGACCTATATGATGTTTCACTTGCCAAAATTAAGTTGTTCTCATATGCCAGGCTTTTGGAAAGATCTTCCACTTTTGCATGAAAAAAGATATTGGTCAGTAAGACTTCTGCACTGGGTTACTTAATATTATTATGATTTTTTTTTTAAAAGATTCTTCAGTCTGATTTGTGGTTTACATTTACATAAGTAATTTATAATGGTACTTGTATTACTATTATGTCAGTTGAATGCACATTTTAAGAAGTAATTGCTGAAGCGTCTAAGGGCTTAACATTACAAAAACCTAATATTCAATTGCCATATAAGCTATTTATAGTTTCAAATTTGCTTTCAGTGTACAGAAATAGGTTAGTTTAATATTTTAAAATCAAATATTACAGCATGCAGTTTATAGTTAACTATAAACAATTCAAGATGCTGCAATGTCCTTTTTTTGCTTAGGTTAGAATAGAATTTAACAGGACACCAAATAATGCACATAGTAACTAAATGCACACAATGAACGTTAACAAAATTCTATACTGTGTGGCTCAAAAACATACCACTAAAGTCTAATGGCCTATACTAGGAGCGCAAAACACCCCACACCCCACAACCCAAGTTTAAATCACGTACCAGTTAGCAATATCTTTATGAGCTACTAGGTTTTGGAGGAAAGCTTGTAGTCCCAACTGTCGATCTTCCAAGAAGTCAGGATTATAATTATCCTTGAACCAGCGCTTTGGTGGCAGAGCCAATCGAAAGCCTGGAAACATATCTTTGAGCTGAAATAGAAAGCCAAGATGAATGGAGAGATACAAAGAAATATCAGAATAAAATATTGAATTTGATGAACTTTATTCTAAACATTGAACTTCAAATTATGCAACGTTTTCATCTTCTGTTAAGTTCAAGCACTAGGTAAAACTCACGAGCGTAAGTACAATTCAGATTATTGTATAAATCCTGGACACAGTTTTACTACTTGCTGTTTTGCCTGAGGAAATCAAATGACCTTTCAAAATCACCATATAAAAACAGAAGTGAAAGAAACTTTGCTTTGCTACTGAATGCCTTTTAGTCGGTAAGTGAAAGAAAATGTTATGCAAGTAATAAGTGGCAGATGAGTAAGCATTTCAGTGATATTTCTTCTGAAGTACTCTGGGATAAAAAGTGCTATATAGATATAAAATCCACTGAAGACCTATAACAATGCAACTCATCTTTTTTTGGGAGACTTTTCTGAATCGGAATAAATTATAACACAAATGCATGAAATACTTCTAGCAAAGAGCAGCTTCTCAAAGACCCAAACTATTTTATACCTAGATGGCAACGAACTTAGTACTGACATGCCAAATTATATTCTTGGCTTACTTAAAGAGCAATTGCATATACTCACTGTCAGAAATACCTAGGATTTCTTTCTTCTTTTTTTTTTTAATTCAGAAATATGGAATTAAATGTAAACTTAAAAATATATAATGATTGGCTTATCCAAGGATGCCAATTTATTTATTTTTCAACTCTGCCTAAAGATAATAAAACCTTAATGCTTTCATAAAAGCAATTTTTTAGATGTGTTTTCTTATTGGAATGTTTGATGCACACAGACAAAAATCTCCAAGAGGACTTACAGTGAACAAAACTGTTTAAAGAAAAAAAAAATTAACTGTAATTCCCATGAGAATCAACTAACCTTTTTGTGAAGACAGGATCAAGCAAACATCTGACAGATGTACTGAATACAGCAATACATACATATGAATTTTTCAATGACAGGGATTCCAGAGTCTCCCCAAAATACATTTTAATGCTCTGTTTACACAGCTGGAGGATAATTGTTCAGTGGGGATCCTGACCCTTGCAGAGCAAATTGAAGGACTGTGACAATAAGACTACTGTTTTTAACTAAGAACTGCACTTTATAGACTCCGAAAAAGCTCCTGGGTAACTCTTCAGCAGATTAAGTTTAAAAAATCATTGACAAATCCAATACTGTATTCCAGATAGAATGTCACTAACATTTTAAAGAAACAACTATCATATTGGCTTACGTTTGTTCATAGAAGCACTCTCTCCTATCACGGGGAGAGGGCCTTTTAAGATCATAGTTATTGCGTAATAAATTTTTAGCTCATAGTGACTATTAGTTCTTGATCTACATAGCTGTTTACTGTCAAACCCTTCTTTTTGTGCATTTCATGTTCTCCTTAAGTGTATGTTGCCTTTTTCTCAGACTGAATTTCCTCTCATTATTAGACTATTTTGGTCCTGCAAAGTTCCTTTACCTATTACAAAATGATCATTAGCACCATTCAGTTAAGTATTCTCCACACTCCATAACCCTGATTTCTTAATGAAATACTGAATGGACAAAACAAGGCCCTGTATAAACTTAATTGTAGCAAGGATGATAGATAACCACAGCTGGGAAAGCACTTGAAAAGCTGGATTTCTGCTTGATGACTTCACCTGTCTATGCAGATGGCATTGTTACTTTTATAAGGAGAGGGTATGTCTACCCACAGATTGCTCCTGTTGGGGTTGAAGAGTTTGAGAAAGCCACTTGCTGTCAGCAGACCCATTTTCAACTGCAGTCTCGAGCACTCCTGTGATGCAGCAAGAAAAACTGGGGGGGTCAGACGAGTTACGCTGCCTGCAACTGCCTGCTTGGATCCCACATTTTTCCTAGACATCTGTCTCCTACGTCAGCATGTGATGGCTCATGCATGCCACATGAGGAAAATATTGCACAGCCTCAGGGGAAAAAAAAAAAAAAAAAAAGACTTAAATTCTTTGTTCTTAAGAACTGACCATATTATTACTCTGTCTATAAAGCTGTTGAATAAGTAATAAACTTTACAAAGGTCTTCCTGCACCTTTTCTCAAAGTAGATGTGCATTTTTCACATATTTCTCCAATCTGCTAGGCGTCCTTAACCAAGGAGACTTAGGCAACTAGCCAAATGTCTGCTTTTGCTCCTAAACCCTCCGATTCCATCATGTTCAACATGCTCTCAGAATAACATTTTCGTTAAAATTATTTTACTCTACAATGTAGAGTCACCATATGATGTACCCTTTGCTCCTAAGCATCAGACCTATACTATCCTGCCTCCTATTATTTCTGGCTGTAATGACTTGCAGCACCTTATTGCTTCAGCCCTCCTGCAGCAGTTTTGTCTCGCCACTCAGCAATTCTGCTTTACTGTTTTCAACTACGCGCGACACCTTTACGCTGACCTCTCATTGCCTACTCTTTTCTTCTGATTGGAATCTTTTTGAACTTTTGAAATCAGTAGAGGGTTTCTCATGTACCAATACCAGTAACATACTTATCCTCCCATTACGCTGGATTAGCATGCCATTGCCTTTTATTTGCTTTCTTTCAAATGAAAATTTTGACATCCTTTATACTTCCAGGAACAAAGATTTGCTGCACTGAAGAGGGTATACTGAGGTCTTAATAAATTTTACTTGGGAAAAAAAAAAAAAAAAGGATTGGCAAGAAATAATTGAGAATTTCCTGTACGTTTCGTGCTACACCCCCTTTGAAGTAAGTACACTAAGTGCATTTTTTATTTCATAGGCACAATCTCTGCAAAAATGAGGTATCCTATGTTTTTCATTCATTAACATAGTAAATGTTTTATACGTAGTAAAGAAGCAAAAGCAGAAGAAAAACTCACCTTGTCATTAAGCCTGGAAAAGTCAGTGTACCGCCTGAAAACTACCCAACTTTCCTCTGGACTTCTTTTTACTAGTATTTTATACACCTGTTTGGAAAAATATCAATATCATAAAAAAATGAAAAAAAAATCATTCTACATTGGCTGGAAGGCTGAAATTAGCCTTTATTTTTTAATGAAACAGAAAAGAACTCTCAAACAAACCTAATTAAAATAACAGCAAATTTTCAGGGAAAATTCAGGGAAAGATTTTTTTGTAATATTTTCCAAATATAATTAGCTACCTTCTCTTTGCCAGATTTGTAAAACAATTTACAGATTTCCCACTCTATGGAAACATTGTCTCTGCTACTACAGAGATGTGAAATATGTTTTACCATTCTACTTTAACTTTTGATGAATTTCAGTTTCAGTCTCCTTTCTGCAGTTTTAAAAAGGGACTTCAATTTTATTTCTATTGCCTTCCACTGATTGTGCTCTACAGCAGGGACCAAAATTTGTAGCACTGATCAGTAATTAGTTTTAATACATAATTGCAAGTTTATCTTTGAAGGACTGCTTGCTCCTAAACACTCCATTGCTCTCTGAAACAACCACAGCAACATATGAAGTAAGTTCAGAAAGAACAAAAAAGCATTCAAGAATTTTAGCTATGAAGAATGTTTCACTTGTACTGCAATCTGGCTTTCTACATACAATGGCTATTTTGACTCTATATTTTAAATGCAGTTGAATAACATCCTACAAACATACTGGGATACCCACTGTATTGACACAGTTTGGTCTGCAATTACCAACAATACTATTCATAGTTTTAGCTTACTGAAAAAGAACCTTCTAACTCAAATGCAAAATTTCGCTTGTCTTTTCTCTCGCACCATCATACATAATGATATTAAAAACCTAAGACAAGATATTGCTTTCAGATAATTAAAAAAATAGCACTATTTAATAACACTACAAGAACTTGATGATTTCATTGGCATGTTAAGTGTCCTAAATGCATGAGCTTTTGGACATTTCTATTTAAAGGAAAACCAGGGAACAAATACTTCCAGCTACTACTTCCTCTTTCTTTCCTGGTTGTGACTTTTAATAACTGGTACCCAACTAACTTCTACCAGCTCCACATTGTTTAACTACTGCAATGAAATGTTTCAATCATATCCACAAGGCAAAACTTTATCTGCATACAGTGCATCAATAAAATTGTCAGCTAGTGTATACTTCGAGAAAAATCAATTTAAAACAGTTAAGCTACTGTTTTGCCATGAGATACCACTCATGTGACACCCTCACCCTGAAGCCTTCGGAATGGATTTCCCCCAATTAGAAACTAAACCCTGAAATGGCAGAAGCTGTAAGTAGTGTTTGTACATTGAGTAAATTTTGTGTTTCTAAATAACTCCAAGAGAGGTAAATATTGTGTTTTGTTGCTCATTTAAAATAAAAGACTATATTTTAGGATGTTTAAGCATCCAGCTCAATTTTGCAAGGAATTGTAACTTTGTAAGAAATTTCCAACTTTTCTAGGAGAAACTCATGATACTCGTAGTAGCATGAAGCATTTCTGTTAAATAAATAACTTCAGAAAAATCTGCTGTCATTTTTGTAAATGAGGAGAATGCTTTCCTGCCAGACTACACTGGTTTGCAGTGCTTTGCCAACACCAATATAGCTTCAGCATCCCTGAACTGAAAGTTTTATTTACAAAAGAGAACACAAAAGAGAAAAGCATATCCAATCATTACCTAAATGTCTACATAAGATAAGCAGCACGCACTATCCCAAAACTTACAGTGAATTTTGCCCTTTCCTCCATCACCTCATAACCCAGTATAGTAGGAGTGGACGGTCGATCTTCCCAGCTCCTGGAATCTGCGTTCTGCTCCGTGTCTTCCACGGGCTGAGAGCAGTATTCAATGGATGTGTCCACGCCTGTAAACTTAGTCCTAACAAGCGGGCTACTGCACACAGATGATGTAGGGCCAGTCTGGTCAGGCAGGCTCATCTTTTTAAAACTACCCACAGCAGAGTCCTCCAGCTGCCCTTTGGAGGAGCTTGAGCTTGTTGAGATGCTCCCAAATGAAGAACTTCTTTGGTTTCTGTTTGTAAAGCTGGAAGATGAACTCCCAATAGGAATAGGAACAGGAACATATGGTGTTGCCATCCTTCATGAAAAAGGGAAGGAAATCTCAGTTTCTGACCCAGAAGCTCAAGATTCATCCACTGGATGATCCATGCTCTTCAAGAACAGTATCTGTGGGGAAGGACCGAAATATCGTTATAACTTTGTTATGAACTTTTTAAAAATATAAATATAAAATGCTGCTTTAAAATTACATCTTTGTAGTTTAAAAGATGCCTTTCAGGTCACCATCTGGATTTTCAATATTAAAATAAAAATAAATATTTCACAATCTTACTTTTGTTTTCTTTCATGATTTAAATGCTACTTTGTTTTATTAAAGTCAGCAATTTTAAGTCTGAAAAGGTACACACTTTAGCTGTGCAGCATACAAAACACAATATAAAACTTTGCTCAGAATTCAGATGTACAGAGCAGACTATACAAACCATGCATGCAATAACATGTATAACCTGAATCAAATACAATAAACCATATTAGCAAATATGTTTTCACCTGTGCTTATTACATATACTCACTGAAGAACAGATCTGTTTTCAAAGCAAGATTTTTTCAAAACAGCTTTATAACGTTATTGCTTATATATATATATATATATACACACATATACACACATACACACACAATATATAATATTGTAACAATATTAACTGGGCATATTTTTCGTAGCTTTAACTGTTTACACTTTACAAGTACATGTATAAAGATCAGTGTGGTGGCAAAAAACTACTTTTCCACTTTGGTAGCAGATTAAAATGGAATGAGTTTTAGGGGGAAAAAGATAAATAAGTTTTGGCATTTTTTCTACAACAAAACCGTTAGAAGTCAAAGTTCTTTTTTTGGTGTGTGTGTGCGCAGATTTCAAAGAAATTAACATAAATTTAAGGTAGTCTCAAACAGCCAAAAAAGCAGTAGCGTCCTGTTTTAACAAAATACCAGAAGGAGCACTCACTCGCACGAGATGCGAATTAGATGCTATCTCTTTGGATTAATAGAATCTGAGTCACCACAGACTTTGCCCGGGATCAAACTAACCACAGGGCTGCAGGCTCTTGTGAAATGCGAGACTGTCAATCTGGTTCACATGATAGATAAAAATCAATCAAATTGACTGCAGCAAAAGCTAAATGCATTTCTTAATTGCAGGGTGACATTTGCATTCTCATGCTTGAAATAAATATGAAATGTGACTGAACACAAATAAGTAAACAAGTATGAAATGAACCCACAACAGCAAGAATGACTGAGGACAGCTCTTGAGACGGTTCCTTCAGCCAGAAAAATCAAAACCTCCTAGGGTTTTCACTATATAGTAACATCTTGACACAGGCAGTGTGTTTGAAAGCCATGGGAACATGACCACAAAGAGAAGTTTTGAATTGGCAGTGATTCCTTGGGAGGTTCTCTGCCCCACCGTGGGATGAGGCAGCACCCCAGGCAGCAGAAACGTCACAGACCCCTCCTGGCTCACATTTTGCTGTTCAGGTGTAGGATTTGGACTATCCAGCAGCTCCTAGTGCAGCACATAGCAGTTCGTTAAGAGACTGAAGTCCACATATCACAAGGTTGAGCCGCTCCGGCATCACTTAGTTTGGAAGAAGCCAGTCACACCTGCACTGGAGCCAAGACACTCTCCTATAGCCTGGCTGAGGTCTAAATCCCTTTCTTCAACTCTATTTAAGTTATTGAGACTATTTTCTGCTTCACATAAACCTTTATTAGTCAGCAGTACACCTAACTAAGAGTAGATCACAGAGCAAACCAACATCTGCACCAGACATGCTCCAGCAGTTTTTAATTTCAGACTAGTTAATTTGCTCCCATTGACAGGATGCTCATTAACAGCTGAAGTGCGTTAGGTTTGTTCCCAGGGAGCATTTTCTGGTTTAGTCTCTCTTGTTTTGCAAGACCGTCTCGCTTTCAGACAAAGCATATTAAATGGTGATGACCAAAATCTGCTTCTTAATGACTTCTTGAGTCAAGCTGAGATAGTAAACTCAACCATTAAAAAAAAGGGGACTGGCACCATCACCACACTGCCCAGATGCCCAAAACTCTTAGCAATAATCGGAAAGTATTATTCGACTAATGGAAATGTTAGGTTAAGTGAGCTAGAGGCGCAGCAGATTGTTTAATCTGATGCATTTTTTCAATAAAAAGAAGCATGCATAGATATTATGTAAGAACTTCATAAATACATATAAATCCTTTATATGAACATAAATATTATGCTGTAAATGTATCAGAATACCTAGATATTTAAAATATTTACTTCCTATGAATTGAAATAGTGTTAAAAAAAAAACGCACTGATACAAAATTTACAATTTATAAATCCAACGCTCAGATGAGGGTCACAATCTTAGGGCTTAAGGCTTTTCTACGAATATAGTCAATTCATATAGCAGAGGCAGCAGAAACTAATTTGACAAAATGCTTTCGGACAAGGTAAGACAGGAGTTCACAGCAGTGCACCAAGGAGAGATGCACAGTCAGCCACGTGTCCAAACTCCGGTGCAGATGGGTCTCGTGCCACGACATTAAGAGCAGGAGAATCACTGCTGCAGAGCTGCCGTCAGGTCGTGCCTGCTTTCTAAAGGCAGCCCAGCAGGCTGCTTTCTAAAGGGCAAAGCGACCACCTCGCTCTCTCTTGCCTGATATTTACATTATTCTATAGAAGAAACACACTTCCCGTTCTTAACTTCTACCTGTCTCAGTTTGGTTCCCAACTGTAAGTCTGGAATGAAATGAAGAGCTGGGAACACTGACGGGAAGCGCTCGATTCCTAAATCTGAAACAGGATAGGAGAGAGCCCCAGGAGCCCTCGTGTCACGAGCTGCAGAGCAGCTGGAGACACCGACTTCTCCGGCCGCGAGTGTTTACACCAGCCGCCTTTCCCTTCCTCGGGGAAGGGGATACGACAGTGGAAACACGGGAAAAAGGCTTTTCTCCACGCCTAACCTACGGCAGTCCCAAACCCTTCTTAAGCTGATGGTCTTTAGGTTCACTGAAAAACTTGTAAGCCACGCAATTCACGGATATCAGATATAAATAAAGGGATCCTTGTTGAACACTCACGCTGGATTCGGTAAACTCCAGTTATGCAACACTGTGATCTGGTTCCTTACAGGAGCGCCTGCTGGGACAGCAACGCCCGGCTGGCTCTTACTGTTTTAAGCAATTTACTACAATGGATCGCTTCCTGAAGAAATACCGGAACTTTTAAGTTACAGGCACCTTTGCTGCTGTGCTAGGGTTTTTTTCTGTCCACGCTAAACAACAAATTTCTCAACTTTTCAAGCCAGACAAGGACCTCGTGACAACACTTACCGGCATATTTCACAGCACATTCTTCCTGCGAGGACTCCCTGGAACGAGCCCGTTTATAGCACCTGACTTACAACACCTGATGTAGCCGCAGGCACCCTGCGGGAGGCGGATCCCGCCCTGACTTTGCTACCACGTAAGAAATGCTGCAAAACAGATGGAAACTACCACTCTGCCCCCACTCCTCCACCAGAAAAAGTGGGGGGAAAAGGGGGAAAAAATAAAAAAGAGGAAAAAGCCCACAAACCTCAAAGCCAGATGCGTTGATGCTTCCCACCTTCGTGTTTGGGGAAGGGAACTAAATGAGAGGGGGCTCAGCTCGCACCCCCACGCCGGCACCTACCGGCGCGTGACGAGCGGCCGCGGCGGCACCAGCCCCCGCGCAGCG